GTAATGATCCTATGAACATGATTTCTATGTGAGATGCAGAATTTTAAAGGGTAAATATCCTATAGACATGATTTCTATGTGAAAATGCAGAATTTTAAAGAGTAAATATCTTATAGACATGATTTCTACCCCTTTTGGCATGCATTCAGTCCCATCCCCTTTCACTATACCCCAGTAGTTATTATAAAGTTATTTACAAAGCTTATTACAGACCAAGCGAATCAAAAGGAAAAAATTACATCAGTGATTACATCTACATCTAATCAGCCTAATCCAGACTCAAAGTCTAATAATATGAGATAAACCAACTTCCAGGATCGAATTTTCAAAGCCTTTCTCTTATTTGGGATGTGTCAAAGTTCTAAGGAACTTCAAGAATTCCAGGCAATGCTTACACCCCAAATATCATTGCAGAGTAAAGAACATAGTGCAGTGTGGAAGGGCCAACCCTCAAATGTCCAAGTTCAGAGGGAACTCGAGGTCCCAAAGCAAGGCTCATAGGAGAGGGGCAGAACATAGAGACTAGGAGTAAGTGTAGGTGCAGTAGAGGGGAAATGGCAAGCTGGTGGTCATGCCAAGCATTTTGGGGTGCTGGCACACCCCTGACCAGCTTGTCAGTTGAACTTGGGGTGCTAGCACACCCCTGAGTCCCCACTTACAAACATATGGGGTTAAATGGGATGGGGAACTAGTGTTTACAAAAAAGTAAAGCAAACAATAGCACATAAGCATTTCAATGTCAAATTCTGCAGAAGGTAGACATAGGCGAAAAGACTGTAAATAAACACATTGGGATGATGCTGGGAATTGAATCAAGACATACCAGTTTTTAAAAAAAAAGATAAGCAAAGAAAGCGGCGATCTTGTAAAGCCAAAGTGCAGACAAGAAAATTCAGAAAAGGTTGTGAGAATTATAAGTGTGAAGTCTGAAGTGTATTCACTATGTTGCGAGAAGAAAAGGCCGGGTATTTATAGTGTGAAAGTCATGAGAAATAAGGTAAGAAAATAATTGAAGTTTGATTTTTAATCAGTCACATAAGACTCTTTGTGCAAAGCATGCAATTGAGGGTAAATACATAAAAGGTTATTTTAAGGACAAGGTTTTTTGAAAGTACATGGTTGTATAATTAAGGAAAAAGAATCAATTGACAGCCACGAAATCACAAGTCCAAATATTTGGTGTGAAGAAAAAGGTTTTACTCAAGGAAAATTAGTACAATCAATTAAAGCCCCCAAAAAGATTCTGATTCAATTAATAGTTGAAATCCTTTTAAAGAAAGATTCAACACACATATAAAAGCACACAGACATGCCTAAACATGAAGAATTTTGCCATGACCTTGTAAAAATCAGTAGAAAGAATCGAATGCGTAGATGGAGAGGCAAGTAGTCAAAAACAGGCTTAGTGGCTTCTATTAGAAGCTCATAAGAAAGCACGCAAACAAGTAGAATGATCAAAGCAAACAGAGTGAGGAATCTAGTTTCGAAGTGTAGTGAGGGAACAACTGACAGTAGAAGAAACAGTAGAAGAACCAGTAGAAGAAACAGCAGAAGAAATACATGCTTATAGAGGATGAAGATAGCAAAGCATGGTAAAAAAAACGGTAATCATAGCGTAGAAAACACAGTAGGAGAATATGCCAGGACGGAGTATAGAAAACACAGCAAAAGAACATTCAATAACGGAGTATGAAACTCAGTAGAAGAACACCTAAGAACATAATAGAGCAAGTATAAGAACATAGTGGAAAGCGAGTGAGAACATGATACAGGAACACAATAAGAGAAACAATACAAATAATAAAGAAAGCAAAAATCATAAAAGCACTTGAATACTTTCCAGAAACCCTAAATCGGAAAAGAAGGGTTTTGAAAGCAATTTTCAAAGGAAAACTTAGGGAAATCGTTAAAAAATTCACGCATAGCATAGATACATAAAAGATCTAAAAGGAATCAGAGAAAAACCTCGAATAGTTAGGGTTTCGAAAGAACCCTAGAGTGAGAAAGGCTTTAAAAAGATCCGATCTAAGTCGGATAAAGTCATAACCAGACTCAGGAGACTAGAATATGCCGGAGCAAGGCCGGAAATGTCCAGAAATGGCTGGAAACCTCGAGTCGGCGAAGATCTGAGTGAAGACCCTCAAAGTCTGTCCTCGATCCTTCGAGCATCAGGCTCACAGGAGCAGTAGGAGGTGAGTATGAGGTTTCCATGGCCTAAGAAGCCATGGATTCCGGTGGGAATTGAAGGGGATTAGGGTTAGTTTGGGCGGCGGCGGCTAGGGTTTGAACGGGGTTGCAGAGAGGATTGGAGAGGAAAGGGATTCAAGGGCGGCGGGTAAAGGGGAAATGATTTTGGGTTGAGGGTGTTGGTGGATTAAAAAAGGAAAGGATGCGTGTGAGCCGTTGATCAACGGCTAGGATTAAAAGTAAAGGCCTGGGCGGGTTATTTGAGTGGGTCAGGGGCGGGAAATTTAGGAATTGGGTCAGGTTTGAATAAAAAATAGGGCTGGGAAATTGGGGGTTTGATTTTGGCTAAAATTGAAATGGTAATGGGCTATATATTAAATAACCAATTTCTCCCTTTTTAATTTAATTAAAATAGTTAAAATGATTTTAAAAGTAAATTGAAAGCACTGAATTAATTAATAATATATAAACATTAATCTAAAAATACTGGGAATAATTTTATAATTATAAAACGCTATTAATCGTAATATAGGCTATAATTGCAATTTTATGCAATTTAGCTTAAAAATATCAAATAAATTTATAAAAATATGCATAAATCACCTTAATTATATTGTGGTGTAAATATGAGGATGGAAATAAATTACTCACCAAAATGATAGTTTTGGGAATAATTATTGGATTTTGTACTACTAAAATAAATAATAAAATGATTTTAAAAAAGCTTTAAAAATTGGAAAAGACATCAACATTCTTGGGCATGCTTATATATGCATGTACATGCTATTTTGAGAATATTCTGAGTATAAAAATATGTTGGGAAAAATCTGGTATCAACAATCTTTAGACCAGTTACATTACAACGGAGGTCGTTCTTTTAGGCCCGCTTAAGTAGCTTATCATGTACCTCGTGGTTCATCAGTTAGCCCCAGCTCCTACAGAGCTCACCTAGTTGAGTCATCATTCAGTGTGCTGTAGGCACAGATTTCTTACCGTGCTCCGTCTACTCAGAGTTCCACAAGCAGTTTTTCGGATTATTAGGGTAAGCAACTTTATCAGAGGATGGGTTGCTTTGAGTGTGGAGACTAAGTAATCTCAAGAGGGATTTCCCCAACTTCTAAGTAGGGTTCCATAGTAGAGGTCACATCCTATGATTTCAGCACCAGTAGCTAAGCCATCTAGACAACCAGCTAGGGGTGGGGCTCAATCATTTCAAGGTTTCCCTAGAGGAGGATGCCGGTCAAGCGGTGGTCTGGCCCGTTGCTATGATTTTGCCACCAGGCCAAAGACAGTTTCTTCCAACACCATGATCACATGTATGGTTTGCGTATGCCACAAAGATGCTTCAATGTTATTTGACCCTGGTTCCACTTATTCGTATGTGTCATCATACTTTGCTCATTATTTGGATACGCCTCGTGATTCTTTAGATATGCATGTTCATGTATCAATACTAGTGGGTGACTCTATTATGGTGGACCATGTATATCGGGCTTGTGTGATGACCACTGGGGGTTACGAGACTAGAAGTCGATCTTTTATTGCTCAGTATCGTAAATTTTGATGTGATTTTGGGCATGGATTGGTTGTCACCATATCACGCTATTCTTGATTGTTACTCTATTATGACATTGGCTACGATAGGGTTGCCGAGGTTGGAGTGGAGAGGCTCCGTGGATCATGTGCCTAGTTGAGTGGTATCTTTTCTGAAGAATCAACCAATGGTTGAGAAGGGGTGTTTGGCATATTTGTCCTTAGTGAGAGATGTTATTACCAATACTCCTACTGTTGAGCTAGTTCTAGTTGCGTGGGAGTTCCTACATGTGTTTTATGTAAATCTACCGAGCATGCCACCCGATAGAGACATTTTTTTGGTATTTATTTGGTGCCGGGCATTGAAACCATCTCTATTCCACCGTATCGCATGGCATCGGTAGAGTTGAAGTAGTTAAAGGATGGGTACCCACTCGATAAGGATGTACATTGACTACAGGCAGTTGAATAAGGTTACCATGAAGAATAGGTACCCACTACCATATATTGGTGACTTGTTTGATCAGCTTCAGGGTGCTAGGGTATTCTCAAAGATTTATTTGAGATCGGGGTACCATCAGTTGAAGATCCGGGCTTCAGATGTTCTGAAGACGGCTTTTAGGACATGTTATGGTCACTGTAAGTTTTTGGTGATGTCTTTTGGGAAGACCAATTCCCCAACAACTTTTATGCACTTGGTGAACAACGTATTTCAGCCATATCTTGATTCCTTTGTCATAGTTTTCATTGACGACATATTAGAGTTTTCTCTCAGCCATGAGGATCATGAGCATCATTTAAGGATTGTGCTCTAGACTTTAAGGGAGAAGAAGCTATATGCTAAATTCTCCAAGTGCGAGTTTGGGCTTGATTTGGTAGCATTATTAGGCCACGTAGTGTCTTGGAGGGGATTAAGGTCGATATGACGAAGATTGAGGCAGTTCAGAGTTGGCCCAGACCGTCTAGTGCTACTGATATCTGGAGTTTCCTTGTGTTGGATAGGTATTATCGCCATTTTGTGGAGGAGTTTTCATCTATAAAAGCCCCATTGACTAGATTGACGCAGAATGGTGCCCCATCAAGGTGGTTTGATGATTGTGAGAAAAGCTTTCAGAAGCTCAAGACTGCCTTGACTACAACTCCAGTTCTGGTTTTGCCTTCAAGTTCGGGCTCTTACATAGTCTATTGTGATGCTTCACGGATTGGCATTGGATGTGTGTTGATATATGAGGGTGGAATGATTTCTTATGCTTAGTGTCAGTTGAAGCCCCACGAGAAGAACTACCAGTACACGATTTGGAGATGGGAGCTATTGTACACGTGCTCAAGATTTGGAGCCATTATCTTTACAGCGTGACTTGTGAGGTGTTCGCAGATCACAGGAGTCTCCATCACTTATTCAAGCAAAATGATCTGAACTTGAGGCAACAAAGGTGGTTAGAGCTACTAAAGGACTATGATATCACCATTCTTTATTACCTGGGAAAGGCCAATGTGGTTGTCGATGCCTTGAGTAGGAAGGATGAGAGCATGAGGAGTCTTGCTTATATTCTAGTTGAGTGACTGTTAGCATTGGATGTTCAAACTTTGACCAAATTGTTCGTGAGGTTGGATATTTTGTAGTCCAATAGGATTCTCGCTTGTGTTGTATCACGGTCGTCCTTGATTGAGCGCATCAAGGTGCGTCAGTATGATTATCCCTACTTGCCTGTCGTGAGAGACACAGTGCAACACGATAATGCTATGGAAGTTACTATTGGTGATGAAGGGGTATTGAGGCTACAAGGCCGGATTTGTGTTCCAAATGTGGATAAATTGCAAGAGTTGATACTTGAGGAGGCCCATAGTTCATGGTATTCCATTCATCTATGTGCCATGAAGATGTACCAAGACTTGAGGCAGCACTATTGGTGGTGGAGGATGAAGAAGGATATTTTTGAGTATGTTGCTCGGTGTTTGAATTTTCAGCAGGTGAAGTACGAGGACCAGAGAGCAAGTGGTTTGCTTTAGAGGCTTGATATTCTGGAGTGGAAGTGGGAGCGTATCACTATGGATTTTGTAGTTAGATTTCCATGGACTTTGAGGAGATATGATACAGTGTGGGTTATTGTTGAAACACTAACCAAGTTTGCACAATTCATTCTAGTCATGACTACCTATTATTTAGAGCAGCTGGCCAGGATTTATATCCAGGAGACTGTTCGCCTTCATGGTGTACCCGTGTCTATTATCTTGGATCAAGGCACATAGTTCACATCGCATTTCTAGAGAGTGCAACATGAGTTAGGCACACAGGTCAAGCTGAGTACATATCATATTTTATCCCAGACGGATGGACAGCCCGAGTGCACTATTCAGATTTTAGAGGACATGTTACATACCTGTGTCATTGATTTTGGGGGATCATGGGATCAGTTTCTTCCATTAGCAGATTTCGCCAACAACAACAACAACTATTAGTCCAATATCTAGATGGCTTCTTATGAGACCTTATATGGGAGGCGTTGTCGTTCTCCAGCTGGTTAGTTTGAGCCTGGGGAGACTAGGTTATTGCGAATTGATTTGGTCCGTGATGTTTTGGATAAAGTGAAGTTGATTCAGGAGCGACTTCATACTGTGCAGTCCATGCAAAAGTGTTATGATGATAGGAAGGCTCATGATGTTGCCTATATGGTGGGTGAGAAGATTCTACTTAGAGTTTCGCCCATGAAGGGTGTGAGGAGCTTCAGGAAGAAGGGCAAGTTGATCCCTAAGTATATTGGTCCTTTTGAGGTGCTTGAGAGAGTTGGAGAGTTGGAGAGTTGGCCAGAGACTTGCCTTACCAGCTAGTCTCCTGGGAGTTCACACAGTGTTTCATATTTCCATGATAAAAAAGTATTATGGTGATCCATCACATATTTTTGACATCAGCACAGTGCAGTTGGATAAGGCTTTGACTTATGATGTGGAGCCGATAGCCATTTTGGATCGGTTAATTCAAAAGTTTAGGTTGAAGAATATAGCATCAGTGAAGGTCCATTGGACAGAGATCCTAGTCAAAAAGGCTACTGGGAGATCGAGCAAGAGATGTGGAGCAGATATCTTAACCTTTTTGAGACTCCAGGAATGATTCAGGACTCATTCGAGGACGAATTTTATTTTAAGAGGGAGAGAATGTAATGACCCGGCTGATCATTTTGAGTATATTAGCACTTGTTCCCCTATTTGATGCTTTAGGCATGTGTATTTATGGTTACGTGACTTTCCGGGGTGGTTGGTTTGGTTTTGGGATGGTTTTGGTGTGAATTCGAACACTTAGTCCCAAGGTTGAAAGCTTAAGTTGTAAGAGGTTTACCGGAGTTCAACTTTTGTGTAAACTACCCCGTAACGGTGTTTTGATGGTTCTATTAGCTTGGTATGGTGATTTTGGACTTAGGCATGTGTTCGGATTTGATTTGGGGGCTCCTAGGTCGTCTTGGCGTGAATTGGCGCAAGTTGGAAAGTTGAAGGTTTGGAAGGTTAATTAGTTTGACTGAGAGTCGGCTTTATTGATATCGGGTTTGAATTTTGGTTTCTGGAGTTGGAGTAGGTCTGTTGTGTCATTTGTGACTTTCATGCATAATTTGAGGTCATTCTGAGTGTATTTGCTAAGGTTCGACATGAGCTTTGGAGGTTGAAAGTTCATTAGTACCTTAGGTTTGAATTGAGGTGCGATCCGTGGTTCTGATATTTTTATGTGATTTAAGGCCTCAAGCAGGTCCATATTATGTTTTGGATTGGTTGGTGTGATTGGACGATGTACCGGAGGCCTCGAGTGAGTTCCGGGGTGGTTTCACATTATTCCTAGGTGTTTGGGAGTTGCTGGTGTGTCTATTATGCTTCACAATCGTGGAGCTAGCTCGCGATCGCGTAGAGGAATTTGGGTAGCTGGCAATTCTTCACAATCGTGTAGGTAGGGACGCGTTCGCGGTATATTGTGACCATTGGCAATTGCGTTCGCGAGAGGGCCTTGCGTTCGCATAGGGTTGAGGTAGTATGGAAAAGGTCGTAGATACGCCTTACCATTTGCAAGACTGGAGATGCAATCACGAAGGTTTAAGTCGATGAATGTCACGATCGCGACTGTTAAACCGTGTTTGCGAAGGGCATTCGGGAGCTGGTGTGATTTAGACTTCCACGATGACGATTGTTTGTCTACGATCGCGATGCTTACGGCGGGGTAGATTACTTAAGTGCTCTATTTCGAAGATTTTGGTTATATTATCACACTTTGAGTTAGAGAGCTCGGATTTGGGCGATCTTGGTCGGATTTTTACTATTTGGATTGAGGTAAGTGCTTTTTTACTCGAATTTGTTCATTATTCGTGATTCCATCCTAGTTTTAGCAATTAATTGATGAATCTAAGTGAAGTAATTGAGGATTTTAGTAAAATCTTTTCTAAATGTAATTTGAGGAGTTGAACCCTGATTCAGAGCCGTAATTTGATGGAATTGGTATGGTTGGACTCGTATTCGAACGTGTGTTTGAAAATTGTAATATTGTTGGGTTCTGGGGTGCAAGCCTGTGTTCAATTTTTTATTTTGATAAATCAATGCTTCAACGTTTGGTTTTTTTCCTACGACATCATTTGATGATATTAAGTTGTTTGTGACTAGATTCGAGCCATTCAAAGGTTGATTCTCGCAGGAAGGGATTTTTGGAGTATTCATTTATGCATTTTGAGGTATGTAACATATCTAAACTTGGATTTGAGGGTAGTTATCCCGGAGAACTATATATTTGAGATGTGCAGGGGGTGACACACGCGCTAGGTGACGGGCGTGTGTGCGTGCACCGGGGTATTGATGATCCGTGTGGATTTTAGACTACTATGAGACATGTTTGCTATCATACCATATCTGTGTTTTCTCTGCTTGTATGATTATTTGAGCTATGATTCATGTTAGAAATCATGTCTAGGCTATGTGCTTATTTGTTTTAGACACAATAGGGCCACTCTTGCTATTTTACGCTTTTTGCCTTAATTGTAGATGTACCTTCAGTCATGATGCTATATCCGTGTATGATATCTCTGTCTCATTGCATTCTAATTTTGATTTCTCACATGTTCTTGATGCCTCATATGTGTAACACTATTGAACTGAGTACTGTGATATGTGGTTAACTTAGACATGAGCGGTTGATGACTAAGGCTGGGCCATAGAGCCGATTTGGTACTGATTTTGAGGTTACACGTATTCCATGACCATATTGGGCGATATAGTACTGATTAAGGGAGACGCGTGCACCAGGCCCCACGAGTGGGCTATGTGATATTGATTAGCGCTTCAGCTAGTATCCGCCCCTCCGGAGTCTGATATTACGGTGAGGGGCATTTGTGCTAGCACTCGTATAGTTCTGAGTGTGGTTGGGTGTGATGGTGAGGGGCATTGTGCCAAACACAATGACGTGCTTAGTGTGGTTATACTTGATGTTTTCAGTGTGGTGAAATTAACTTGACAAGTATATTTGACATGTAGGTATTGAGATATACTCTTTCTTGTGCTAGCTGGTAAAAGAAATATCTTATCTATGTTGGCTTCAACTATTATATTTGAAAAGCATGTATAAATTTTCCCGTAATTGTGAATGAGCCGAACGTGATATCTTTGAGTTATTTAATTTTACTATCTTTATTATATCCTAGGTTCTAATTTATTATTGATGTTGGACACTAACTTCTCTTCTGAGCTCGTCACTACTTTCAGACCAAGCTTAGGTTTGTTACTTATCGAGTACATGGGTCGATTGTACTCATATTAGACTCTAGGCTTCATGTGTAGATCCAGGTACTTC